GGACTCAGCACCCCCGTGGAACCCCCTCCTCCCTGCAGGTCGAGGGTCTCACCGTGAGCAACCAGCAGTTTGCAGAGAGCATCAGTGAGCCGGGAAAAGCCTTCCTGGACGCCGAGTTCGACGGGATCCTGGGCCTGGCTTACCCCTCGCTGGCCGTGGACGGCGTCACTCCTGTCTTTGACAACATGATGGCACAAAATCTGGTGGAGCTGCCCCTGTTCTCCGTCTACATGAGCACGTACGGACACAGCCTTGCTCCGGGATGCTGCTTAGAGCCTGTCATTGCTTGAGGGATCAGGAGGGCCTGCTAAAATAGAGATGTTTTACTGAGCTAGAGAAGGGGGTTTGGTGCCAGGCTGAGCATCACAGACCTTTGGCCTTACAGGGATAGCATTTGTGGGAAGCAGGCAGGTGTAAATCCACCCATTTAAAATGTTATTTACAAAGTCAATGGGGAAAAAATGCCTCATGGCTTTTCCTCCTCCCTCCAGGAACCCCGAATCCCCCCTGGGAGGAGAGCTGCTTTTTGGGGGTTTTGATACGTCCCGCTTCACGGGGACCCTGAACTGGGTGCCAGTGACCCAGCAAGGGTACTGGCAGATCCAGCTGGACAAGTGAGTGGTGCTGGACAGGGAGGGAAGGCTGGGCTGGGGGGGGAGGAGCAGGACAGATCCCTCTTGGTCCTTCTCTCTCACCTCTTCCAGCATCCAGGTGGGTGGGACAGTGACCTTCTGCGCCGACGGCTGCCAGGCCATCGTGGACACCGGGACATCGCTCATCGCAGGTCCCACCAAGGAGGTCAAACAACTGCAAAACTACATCGGTGCTGTGCCTGTGGATGGAGAGGTGAGAGGCAGGGTGGGGAGAGGAGGGGGCAAAGCCCTGGGAGCCCCACCCTGCCTGGAGTGACCTCCCTGCTGCGTTGCAGTACGCCGTGGAGTGCAGCAACCTCAACGCGATGCCCGACGTGACCTTCACCATCAACGGGCTCCCCTACACGCTCAGCTCCCAGGCTTACACCCTCATGGTATGGCTGTGGCACCACCACCCCCCATTCCCAGCAGCTCCAGTGACAAAGGTGGCCCAGAGCCACGCCGGGAGCTGAGCCCTGTGTCCCCGTGGGTGACAAGCCCCACTGCTCCGTGCTTTGTCACCGTTCCTGCAACGTTTCCGTGGGCACGAGGCTCTCGGGCTCATTGCCAGCTTTGCCCTTCTCCTCCCCCAGGAGGAAGGTGGTGGTGAGACCTTCTGCCTCAGCGGCTTCCAGGGCAATGACATCCCCCCTCCGGCCGGACCCCTCTGGATTTTGGGCGACGTTTTTATCCGTCAGTTCTACTCCGTCTTTGACCGTGGGAATAACAGGGTGGGGTTGGCCCCTGCTGTCCCTTAGGGCTGGGGCATCCTGTGGGGTAGGAGGGGAACAGAGCCACCAGGATGCTGCCCCCGGGCAGGCCAGGGGATGTCACTGCTGCATCGGTGTCCCCAAGGGGGTGAAGACACCTGAAGAGCCCAGCAGAAGGTCAGTCCATGCCAGGACACAATTTCACAGTGAACATAAAAACATCTCGAGCAGCTCCGTGATCTGCTCTGTAAATTCTGTATTTTTTAAACATGAGCCAATAAAAGCTTTAATAAACCAAAACCTGCCCTGCTTGTGTCATCAGGAGCCCAGCAGTGACCCTGTGGGTCTCAACTGGGTTGCACTGGGGTGTTAAATCCTCCTCCCCCAGATCCTGCCCTCCTCCCTCGGTGACCCGTGGCACTGCCAGGGCTGTATGTTCAGTGTGGCTGGAGCTGCCCTGCTCTGGAGGGAACCTTGGCAATGCAGGATCCAAAAGGTCAACCTCGTGGTCCTTAGCTGGGATTTCCACAGAGGCAGAAAGAAGAGGATGCTCTGCCCAGGTGGAGGTGGCTGTGGGCATCCCTGGGCATCCCGTGGGCCTCAGGCCACCACTGTGGGCAAGGGCAGGGACTGAGGGAGCCCTGGGAATGCACACCTCAGTCAACTGAGCTGCTGCTGGTAAACAAGAAGGGAACATGGAGACTGGAAAGACCCTGGGGCTCTTCCTGTGCCATAAAACTCCCAGAAAAACCGGTGATTCCCAGTGAATTTTCCTTTGATTCCCTGGAGGAACTTACAGAGACAACGTGGCTGGTGGGTGCTCAGCAAAAGAAAGGGCAAAACAAAGCACATGCTGAGATCTGGGCTGGGCTGTGGGGGGCTGTGGGGTCCAAGGAGCTGCTGCAGCACATGTGACTCACTGAGGGTGCAAGGGATGTGTGAGAAGGCAGGAGCAGCCGTGGCTCATGCATGAGACACCCCAGGCACACAGCGAGAAAGGGAACAGTGGAAAAGGGTTATTTTTATCCAGACCTTTGCTCCGTTTGCTGACACTGAAACAAGGCCCTGCAGCGCTGACTCCAGGGTGACAGGGTGCCCGTGTGCCAGACCAGGCTTCGTGGCTGCTCCATCATTCCCAGGGTTGGGTCTGAGAGCGCTGGAATACTCGGAACTGGTTGTAAACTTGGCGGCTCAGCCTTGTGGTTTGCAATAAAAGAAGATATCTGCCTTACTCAGAAACACTGATTGTGCCACTGACCAACTGTGGGTTCTGTAACGTTTCCTGTGTTGACTTCACCTCAGCTCTGCTGCAGTCAAAGATAAGGTGCTGGGGCAGCTGGACAAAGGTCTCCTCTCCCTCTTCCACCTTAACTCTTAGCACACCAAGGTGCTGCCTGGCACCAGCCCATCACCACAGCCACAGGCAGGGGGGAGCATCCAGCTCCCCCAGCCTGACAAGGGACCACCCAGAGTCCCCAAACAGCAGCTGGCACTGAGACATGGCCCGGCCTGGACTTCACCAGGACTGCTCTGGTGCCACGTGCCCTTGGGATCCCAGAGCATTCTTGACAGGTTTTGAGAGGGATGTTGCTCCAGAAAATACTAAGCATCCCAATAAGGAGCAACCCACCTCCTGCTGTGCCCCAGGGAGGCTGAACAGCGTAAGGAACAGTTTCATCACTCGGATGCCTTTTGCTTTCTTCCCTTTCCCTCACTCTCCCAGCCCCGTGAGCGTCACCACAGAGAACAGCCCGTGCCCTCCCTGTTCACCCCAGCCTTTCCTCTGCCTCTGGCAGCCCCCAGCCTGTGTTTCGTGGTCTCCCAGCTGCGAGACCTTCCTCATAGTCACAGGGCACCAACCCCAGCCCTTTCCTCTGAATTGCTGACGTGGTGGAGCAACCAGGACAGCACTGAAGCTGTGGTTGCTGGAGCTGCTGAGCCACATCTCGGGCATCACCTCCTCCACACCACTGCCTTCATCCAGGGCGAATCTCACCCCAGGAGAGCAGAAGCTTTGGAAAAATCCTGTTTCTTGCGAAATCAAACAAAAGCCAGAGCTGGCTCTGAGCCTGGGCTGGGCACCCTGATGGCCACAGCCCTCCTGCCCAAAAGCAGAAGTGGCTGAAGGCACCAGCTGTGGCAATGCAACCACAAACCCCATCTCCACTGGTGCAGAGGGGCATCGATCATCTGACTGGGTGAGCAACCCCCGTCCCACCAGGACATGAGAGAGGAACGAGGGCAGAAGTTGCTGAGGGGGAGGCTGAACAGTAAAGTCTCACTGCAAGGACAAAGGTGAAGCAGCACGATGAAAATAGGCTGAAAACAGGGATTAGGAGAGATCTGCTGCAGGGAAACATCAGCCTTTTACCCACCACCAGTGAGAACTGGCTCAGGTGCTTCTGCCTCATCCCAGCTCCTCCCAGTGTCTGCCCTCTGGGGGAAAAAACAGATTTTTCTGGCCAGACAGGTCCCAAAATTACATCTGGGGAGGAGGAGGAGGGTTTATCCTGCTGAATGCAGCAATATTCCCTGAGATCCCATAAGGGATCTCTATATTGGAAAAAAAAAACCACTACAAAAATGAGGGCAGCCAGTGGCAAAACAAAAGCTGGTGGTCTCGGAGAGCCCCTGTGCCTGGGTCCCTCTCAGGCCACCAGCAACCACTGGTTCAGGGTGAGGGAGCCAGGAGGGTTCACAAGATGGGGGGACACCCCACTCCCACTGCTAACCCCAAATTCTACAGAATGTTTGGCAAAGGCTCAGGACCTGCCCTTGCACGTTGGGAAGCACAGCTCTGCCTTTGCAGCCAGGGCCAAGCAGGTTTTCCCACTCCAAAAAAACGTGGGCACCAGCCTGGTGCTCAGAGAAACAACCAGAGGCTTCCTCTGTTGCTCCATGGTGGCAGCTGAGATCCTAAAATCCCACTTGCCAGTTGAACACTTCCTCCTCCAGGAGATGCCACCAGGTCTGGTTACTGGGGCTCTCATCCTGGCACAGTCCCCTCCTTTTGGGATGCTTGGATATCTGGCTGGCTGTGGATGCAGGGTGGGAGCCCCTATGGAATGGGAGTTGCAGGGATACAGCAGGAGGTGGAAACGCTCCTGCTTCCCACCCTGCCCCTCTCCTGCTTGAAAACGAGATGAAGATACAGACAGCTCCCAGCCCCCTCAAATAGATCCCACACCCCCCCCTCACCTGTCACGGTCCCCCCACTGTCCCCAGCTCCCAAATCCGCTTATCCCACCCCGCACTATTAGAGCCGCCCGAGCAAAGTCCGGGATGGCTCCCGGGATGCTGCCGAGAGCTGTTCCCAGCCCTCGACAACCCCCCCAGCAGGAACGCAGATAAGGGGTCCCGCGGAGGTGGGTGAAAGGTACCGGGGGGATTCTGAGCAAGAGGAGAGGCCAAAAGTCAATCCCAGACTCCAGCGGACGAGGAGAACCTTGTTCTCCTTCCCCCGCCGGAGCCCGAGCCGGGGTGGGTCGGCAGAGCCCCGGAGCCGAGGGCAACTCCGCTGCCATCCCAGCGCCCGCCCGCGGCTCCTCCGCCAGCCCCGGCAGGATCTCGGCCCCTTTCTGCTGATGTCACGGAGCGGGGCCCCGCAGACGCCTTCTTTCCTGGATCCTCCTCTCTCGCCTCTCCCCTCCCTGGGCCGCCGGCTGGAGCGGAGCCCAGAGCCTCGGCTGCCCGGCCGACGGATGCCCCGGCAGGTGAGTGCTCTGCCCTCCGGTCCCTCCTGCCCCCGGGATGCAGCTGAGATCTCCCCTCGGAGCAGGAAAAAAAAGTTTGGAAAACTCCATTTTGAGTTTAAAACCATCCGGCCTCCGAGGAAGCTGGCAAAAGGACTGGGAGGAGAATGCGTGCTGAGACATGAGGCTCTGCCTGTGCCCAGGATGCTGCCCACGGCCGGGCTGGGGTGGCAGAGGGGTGCAGGGGGGCCTGGACCCCACAGTTGAGACCCGCCCTGGCAGGGGGGTTGTTCCAAGGGGGAATGGCGAAGGGCTGGCCAACGCATCGGGGAAAAATGCAGGGAAGAGGCTGCCAGCGTTTCCATCCGTGCCTTGGCCGGCGCGGGGCCGGGCGGTGCCTTGAGGATGGGGCTGCTGGGAGTGCCGGAGGATGCTCATCCCGCCTGGGGAGGGGGTTTGCTGGAGGTGCTCAGGGCTCCTGGCCAGGCACAGAGCATGTGAGGACACCAGGACATGCTGGGATGCAGCCCGAGGGGAGCCTTTCAGGGTGCTCCTGGGCTGGGATGCTCCCTGGGCTGTGCTTGGGGCACCCGAGGAATTCCACCAGGTTGGGGTCTTCTTTAATCAATGTAATTTTCTGCAGGATCCCCATTGTGCACCAGGTGTGTGTGCCAGGTTTAGGGGGAGGGACTGTGCTGGAGAAGCAGTGGGAGAGGCAGGGAAGTTGCTCCCAGTAGCTTTGAATGGAGATGAACTGGCGTGTCTGGACGTGCAGCAGCACCTCGGGAGCTCGTCACAGGCAGTGACGTGGGCTCATCATGGGAGTTTCTGTCCCCACCATGGCTGGGACATGAGTGCAGTGGGGTGGTGGCACAGCACAGACATGGCATGGACACAGTGCTGGAATGGTATGGACACGGTGCTGGCACAGCGCAGACATGGTGATGTCCGTGGTCCCGGGATGGATGGGGAGCATGGAGAGGCCACAGGGAGCAGTGGCTGCTCCCACACCTCACCAGGAGCCAGTCCCATCCCCACAGCCGGGTGACTCTGTCTTGTCCCACAGGGCCCGTCCATGGATGCCAGCAAGAAGGTGGATCTGAAGATAATCATAATTGGAGCTCTGGGGTAAGGAGCAGTGCTGGTGAGGAAGGAAAGCCCCCCATGTGGGCTGGGTTGTGCAGCCCCTGCTGTGACTGACCCCCTGAGCAGTGCAAATCCTCACCAGTGTCCCTTTGCCCCCTGCCAGCGTGGGCAAAACCTCCCTCCTGCACCAGTACGTGCACAAGACGTTTTACGAGGATTATCGCACCACGCTGGGTGCCAGCATCCTGACCAAGGTCCTGGCGGTGGACAACACCCCCCTGAAGCTGCAGGTGAGCAGGGCTGGCACTGCCTGGGGTGCCCACCCTGATCCCACAGGCATGTGTGTCCCACCACGTCCCGCTGTCCCCAAACGCCTCCCGGTGTCACGCGGTGCGGGGGCGGATTTGCAGAGCCCGATTCGCAGCATCCATGAACTACGGCGGAATCCCACTGGAGTTTTGGGAGCTCAGCACTCCCTGAAGCTGGTCCCCTGAGCTTAACAGAGCACAGGGCTGCAAACACCCACCCTGCTCTTGTGTGTCTGTACCTGTGCCCTTCTCTGCCCTAGATCTGGGACACGGGGGGACAGGAGCGATTCCGGTCCATGGTGTCGACCTTTTACAAGGGCTCGGATGGCTGCATGCTGGCCTTTGATGTGACAGACAGGGAGTCCTTTGAGGCCCTGGACAACTGGAGAGATGACTTCCTGGAGAAGGTCATTCCAAGGGAGCAGGATTTCCCCATGGTCGTGCTGGGGAACAAAATAGACCTCTGTGATCGGCAGGTGAGGGTGGAGAGGAGAGAGAGGGATGAATGGCCCAGGGCAGGGGTGGAGTCACCATCCCTGGATGGATTTAAAAGTTGTGTGGATGTGGCACGTGGGGACACGGTTTAGTGGTGGGCTTGGCAGTGCTGGGTTAATGAATGGACTCGATGGTCTTACAGTCTTTTCCAACCTAAATGATTCCATGATTGGAATGCCTTAGTGTCCTAATGGCTTATGAGCGCTGATCCTCCACCTGCAGAACCTGCCTTCTCCCTTTTGCTCACATGAAAACCAGGGCTCCAGGCAAGGAGCTGCCACCTCCCCCTTGCCTCTTGCAGGGGATAAGCAGCGTCCTGCACTGCCCTTTGACAGAGACTGTCACTGAAGGCAGCAGGAATTACAATATCAGGCAGCTGCCTGCAGTGCCAGCACCCTGCCCTCACCTACATGGGTGAGGAGGGTCCCCTGTTCCAGGTCTCCAGCAGCCACAGGCATCCCTGTGAGGTGGCTCCATCCTCCCTTCCCACAGGTACCCAAGGAAACTGCCTCAGCCTGGTGCAAGGAGAAGGACATCCCTTATTTTGAAGTCAGTGCCAAGAACAACATCAACGTGGCAGAGGCTTTCGAGACCCTTGCGAAGCAGGCGCTAACGACGGTGAGCATCGCTCCTGCTCCAAGCCTGTGCTGGAGGCAGGAATTCGGGTGGGGAGCTGGAATCAGCCGGGGCTGGTCTGACAGACCCCCCCCCAGCCCAGCCTCTGGTGTGGAACAGCTCCTGCTGTAACGAGTAGGAGAGCCCTGGGAATGAGAAATGCATCAGTGTTTGATTTCTTAAAATAGATCCTAAACTGGTTAGAAAGGAGTAAGAATTGTTTCCCTTTGTGGGTGTGTGGCACCCACAGCGCGCCAGCACTGTCCTCTAGCGGCCATCTAACAGGGACATTCGTGTCCCCACGCCCTGCACAAGGTGGCTTTTCCCTGGATTTTGCCTTTAATCCCAAATCAGGACTGAACCTCGGCACTCCACAGTCTGTCAGGCTGCTCAGGCTGGCTCTGAGCTGAGTCCACTCATCCTTTCTCTTCTCGATTTTTTTCCAGTACAAAGGGATTTTTGAGAGTTATTTAACTGACTCCATCAAACTCACTCCCTATGACAAGCCCAAGAAGAGCTGCTGCTGAACCCGGGCACTGCCCACACTGGACCCCACAATGCCCACGGCTGGAGCCCCTCCCAGGGGTCTGTGCCCTGTGCCCATCCCAGGGACTGTCCAAGCCAGGGCACAGCAGGACCAGCCCTGGACACACCGGGACCAGCTCACTGTGCACCCCAGGACTTGCTACTTCCCACGGCTCTCCTGAACCAGAAAATCCCAAATTGCTGCTGTGTCACGGTGGCCTCGTCCCCCTGGATCCACTGTCATCTGGCACCCGAGCAGGCAATGCCCCTGTGGTGATGGTGCCAGCGGTGACAGTGCCAGTGCTTCTCTGGTGACAGTGCCAGTGCCCCTGTGGTGATGGTGCCAGTGCCCCTGTGGTGATGGTGCCAGTGCTCCTGTGGTGATGGTGCCAGTGCTCCTGATGCCTTTCCAGAGACCACGACCTCGGCCCCAGGGCTGTCCCTTCCCAGTGCATGGGCTGGTGGCCCCACGGCTCTCACAGTGCTCACAGGGGGGACATGTGGGGCTGGTGGCCCTGACACAGGGCTGAGAGCAGCTGGGTCCCCTCCTGGGATCAGCCACGGAGGAGGCAACTGTTCTGTGCCTCAGTTTCCCCTCCATCAAACACCTTCCACTCCCACCCCACCCAGGGAGGATCCTCAGAAAAGCACTTTGTCAGGGATTCTTTTTATGTATATATATATAACAAAGGAAATTAAATATTTCATTTTTATTTACATTTACTTGTTGCAAAATTCACCAGTGGTCACGCAGCAGGAGGTCAGGGTGGGGGCTACAGACTCCTGTGCTCCAGACTTTCCTCCCTGAGCCTGTGCCAGCTTGTCACAGCTGGGGGATGCATTTTGGGGCTGGATTTTTTTTTTTTACCCATTGCAAATTTAGGGTCAGGGGAGAAAAGAGTTATCTAAAGCACCGTGCAAAGAGGGTGTGTAGTGGTGGCATGAGGCCTGGCAGGGGTGGCTGTCGGCAGAGGGAGCCTGCTGGGAGCAGAGCCAGGTGCCTGCTTCCCTTCCTGCATCCATCCCACTCTGGATCAGGCACCTTGGAGAAGCTCTGTGGAGGCACAAGATGGAGCTGGCCAGGGATGTGGCCATGGACGACCCGTGCCACCTATCCCACAGCCTGGGGAGCCACATCCCTGGGGCTGCAGCATCCCAGTTGCTGGGCTGGATGGACTCAGGTGGATCCCAAGCTGGGCACTCAGCCTGGTAGGTCTGAGTGCCCTCCACCACCAGCCCCATCCACGCTGTCCACAGTGGTCCCACAGAGCTTCCCAGAGGCACAGGGGCTCTGTCCTGGCACCTCCCAGACCTTCCCATGAGCAGCAGCCCCACTGTGGCTGTTCCTCACCGGCTGGGGACAGCACCCATGGGTGGCAGTGGCAGGGCACGGGGCTGGCAGTGTGTGCAGGGAGGGTGGAACCTCAGGGAGGGCTCAGCACAGGGGGTGTGGGGGGCTGCAGAGCTGGAATCAGACTGCCCCTCTCCGGCACGTAGAGACCTTCCCACCCTCCTCCTTGCGAAACACTCAGCCTGTTTATTTGGGCACCAGGCCGGGGAGAGGATTTGTCCCTTAATATTGGGAGGAGAGGGGCATTAACTGTTTCACTCCCGAGCTCTGCTGGCCCTTTTCCCACCCTGTGCCTGCCCAGAGCCCCCCTCAGGCCCTGCACCACACGCCCCATCCTGGCACAGCTCCGGGCTGAGCATCTGCCAGTGCCTCGGCCAGGGCAGTTTGGACACAGCTTTCATGTCAAGGGCAATGTTGTTTCTAATCACACCCTTTCCCCAGAAGCTCTCAGTGCTGGCAAACAAAAACCTGATCTGTTTTACCCCAGCAAGCAGCAGTTTGGACACCCAGAGCTGAGCAGACTCACTCAGTGGAGCGGGTGCTCCCCCTGAGCAGCCGCTGGCACAAGCCCAGGGCTGCTGTGAGTGCTGGAGCCCAGGAGTGGCAGGAGCTGGAGCCAGGTGGGAGCTGCAGGCTTGGCTCAGGGTCCAGCTGCAGACTGGGCTGCCCTGGAGAGGGATGGCCAGGAGCACCCAGTCGAGCTGGGGACAGACCTTCAACTCCAAGCACAGCTCGCTCCAGGGCCCTTGTTCAGGCTCTGAGGTGCTGGGTTTGAATTGGGTGGTGCTCCAGCACTTTGTGCATCCACAGAACATCATTCCAGACACAGGAATTAAGACTGAAGGATATGACAACCTTGGCAGCAGGCAGGATCTCCAATGGCATCGTCACCCTGCAGAGATCCTGTCTAACACACCTTGCAGGGGTCCAGCACCGTGATGGAGCTGACCACAGCCATCCAGCTCCTCTCCTCCCTCCATCCCTCCTGGGTAGGAGCACTGGCATGGTCCTGCAAGCCAGGCAGCCCTGGGACAGCCAGGAAGGCCAGGAGACCGAGCAGGGTGGCACAGTGCCAGGCAGGATGCTGGCAGGAGCAGCCAGAGGTGCTAAGCTGGTAACACTATCCTGCGGCCGAAACTTGATAAAGGACAGGGGGAGGTTTGTAACACGTGGGATTAACAAGGTCAGCTCGAGATTTTCTCAGGGTGAAAATCAAAGGGAAAAATATTTACCTTGTGTGACTCAGTGAGTTCCTGTGCAGGCAGCAGTGCCCGCTCAGCCCTGGGGAGAGCCTGGCCGAGGAACCAAACCTGAGCCTGAGCCCTCCTGCTCTCCTGCCCTATTTAATAACCAGAGACTTCCCAGCTTGGCCAGCACAGCCAGGCTGCACTGCTGCCTTTACAGGTTTTCATTCACTCACCCAAACTACAGAAATCAGCTGAAGAATCCCAGCCCGAGGATGCTGAGCACACAATGGACACCATCCCAACCCTACTGGCACATGTGGAAGAGCTGCTCTCAGTATTTGCAAAATTAGCACCCAACACTCACCCCAAATCCCTGACTCCCAGCTGCAGTTTGCTTCAGTGCTGCTGAGGTTTAATTACTCCCGAGAGCTCTTCACCCTCTGCCATTCCTGCTCTGAAAGCACATCGTGTGCTCCCTATTACCTGGTGTAGCCAGCCCAGCTGAGCCCTGACTGCTTCCAGGGGTGGGAGCCTGGTTGGAGCGGCTGGATTTGCATCACAAATGCCCCGGGCAGGGCTGACAGACAGCGGCTCCTCCGCTGCTCCTGCCTGAGGCACATCCCAGCCTTCCAGCGACAGGCAGCAGCGGCAAAGAACCGCGGAATCAATAATTTGGGTTGGAAAAGCCCTCCAAGATCATCAAATCCAAGCCCACCACTAAGATATGTACCCAAGTGTCCATCCACCCCAGCCGGTGGCAACTGGTGCTGGGTGGGACTAAATTCTTTTATTGAACATGTGAGAATCAAAACAAAGCTGCAAAGCAAATCTTTAGAAATCAAGTTTTCCTGTTTGGAAGCAGAAACCACATTAACCTGCTCTGGGATCGAGAGTAACACAGTGGCTTCAGCCACTTCAAAGCACACCTGATAAACCCCAGAGGTTCAAAGTTCCAGGTAACCTTTCAAAAGCTTCAGACGTGAAAAATATAATCATGGCATCACGCAAAGCCTTATCTCTGTCCTCTGGTGCCACTGGGCAGCAGGTAAGTAAACACATTTGTAGGTCAGCAAAGGTTTCTGCAGCCTCCCTGGGCCATGGTGGCCACTCCTGGTCCCTCTCCCCTGTAAGGAAGGGCTCGGTGTGGTGGCCTGGCTGGGCACAGGGCAGCCCGTGGCACACTGGCACCTCTTTCCACGAGCACTCCCGATGCTGTTAAATACCTGACTGACTGTTCTCTGCTTCCTCGATCATTATTCCACCCCCAGCGAGCAGCAGTGAGTGGGTGACACTAATGGGATTGGTGTGACTGTCCCCCTGCAGCTGCAGGGACACACAATTAGCCCCTGCCTGGAGCACAGCCAGGAGGGAGCAGACACCCTCCCCTCTCCCTCTGCTTCATTGTCCACCTCTTCGTGGCAAATATTGATGCTTCTCCTTCACACTCCTCACAGGGGAGGTGTTGTTAAGGTGTCCCAGCTTGACCACCCATGTGTGGGGTCATTTGGGGCCACAGGGGCTGGAGCAGCGGGGCCGGGGGACACGGCAGGACTGCGAGGCAGCACGTAGAGGGGATTAGGGGCTGTGGCCAGCCCTGCAGTCAGCTGAGCTCCGTGCTGAAGTCAGCAGCCAGCCTGAGCCTGGGGCAGCAGCAGAGTGCAGCCCACTGGGACGGGCAGGGTGGCTCCAGCCAGCCCGGCACAGGGAGGCACTGCTGTCCCGCTTGGGCAGCGTCTGCTCCAAGGGTTTTCCACCCCTCTCTGCAGTCCCTGAGCGTTTTGCAAAGCCCTGCAGAGATGCTGAGTGCTGCAGAGAGGATCCCGTGTACGGGACAGACTCACGAGCAGCAGGAAAAGCACTTGGAGAAGTCCATGAAGGACTGGTTTCACCAGGGTGGGAGTGCTCCCTGTGAGGGGCCAGGCAGTGACCGAGGCAGGACAGTGGTGCTCACACGGGGTGGATGTGCCCCTCGGCACAGGGGCGGACATCATCTTCACCAGGGAGTTTGGGTGATATGTGAACCTGAAGAACAGGAGCAGCTTCAGGCTCCTGCTGATGGACACCTGCTGCCCAATGAGGAGCTCACTGCCCCCAGATTGCACAGAGTTTGGGATGAGATGGTCCATACTCTGTCCTGCACGAATAAGCAGCTCCTCAGAGCACAGACAGACACAAACAGTGGTGATCTGCAGCTTTTTGGGTCAACCCACTGGCGCTGACTAAAGGGAAAATGTAGACTTGCTTCCTCCTGCTGCCCTGGCTGAGCACCCCCAGGTCTGCATGAGGCCACCAGGCATCCCTGGGGATGTGGCTGGGAGAAGCCAGGGCACATGTGGACCAACAGAGCCTCCCTCCAGCCCTGGGTGAGGCTCAGAGCAGGGAACACCTCTCCTGCCAAATTCCACTCGGGCGTTTCATCCCTCTGGCCCAAAATGGTTTATTTAGCTTTAAATGCCCATTGACCAGCGACCCTTTCGAGGCAGGCTGGCACCTGAGCTGGCTCCTGGCCTCGTGCCACCTGCACCCAGCCATGGCTGCAGCACGACAACACCCTGCCTAAAACATTTGAAAAAGGCCAAGCCGGCTCTTCCATCTGAAATCCAGCTCCTGATCTCTCACCGGGGGTGACAGGACCCCCACCAGAGCAGCCCTCACGTCAAACACCTGAGCACTTCTGCAGGTATTGACCTCAGAGCCCCGAACAATGGGATGCTTTATTTCATGGCTTATCTCCCATCGCTGGGGTCGGAGCATTTGGGCCTTAATGAGTTGCCCGAGGCCACAGAGCAGCAGCAGGGACTGGGATGGGACCACATTCACTTTCCCCCCCAAGCCCCCCTGCTCCAACCTGCACAAAATGCTGGTGGAAAGAAGGGAGAAGCCACACGTTCTCCCAAATTCCCCCACACACCTTCTCATGTTTATTTATTTTTTTAAAGACTCCTCTGTTGGTTTTTTTTGATTGGAAAACACCCTTTTACTAGAATTCAATTGTCTGAGCGAAAAAATTTTGGTTGACTCTCCTCATTTGGAGTGGGCAGAAAGCCTTGAGGGGTGGGGGAGGCAGCTGCCAGAGCCAGCCCCCAGCCTGGATTCCAGGAGAGCGGGATATTCCAC